GAGGAAACGCTCGGCTCGTTCCCCTCGGACCTTCAAATCCTTCCAGGTCTTAGACGGTGCCATTCCCATAGCTTCGAGGATATCCAACGAAAGATGGTTGTGGCAAGTTTCCAAGATGATCCTCACTGATCGGATCCCTACAATTCATAGCTTTGTTCCGGAATCGTTGATGAAATTTTCCACTAACTCTCCGTCCTTTTGCTTCTCGTCAAATAACATTCCGATTGAGACCTCGGTATCGTCGTCAATGAAATTCATGAGAAACACGTCCTCCATGTCATCCCAACTGCTAATACTCCCTAGCTTGAGGCGGCGATACCAATCGAAGGCTGCTCCACGAAGAGTGTCGACGAATGACCGTACCATCAGAGGTTCATTCCCGGAGATTATCTCCAAGTGAGACTTGAAGTATATTGAATGCTGAGTGGGGGAACCCTTTCCATCAAATAGCGTGAATTTGATTGAATTGCACTTTGCCGGATACGGGATTGACTCCCACTCTCTTGGGTATGGGCATGGTATTCCGGACCTTTTCACTTCCTGAGCACTTATCAACGCATTGATTTTGCTCTCCAAATCCCTCATCTTCTTATCAGCGCTCATATCTGTCTTTGGGCAATTTCGGGGAGAGGCAACGTGGTCCTCCTTCGTATTGTTATCATCCGAAGGGCCACCCCCAGTATGGCTGTCGACGGGAGGGGTGTTCATGTTGGCAATCTCCTCCACTACCCGATCATTATCAGTTTGGTCAGGATTATTTCGATGGCTAGACTCTCCCTGCTGATTTGTCAGTATCGCGATTTGCTGGTCATACATCTTCCTCATTTGTTGCATAGCCATTTCCATTTCAAATTTGAAATTCTTCCTCTGCTTAGTTAAAGCGTCTTCAAGAATTTTACTCATATGCTCTGCGTTGATCATGAATGACTCATAGGATTGTCCTGTGCTTGATGCCGTATCGTCGGAAGCCATTGCTGAGCAGGCATCTGAGCAAGCATCTGGCATTTCATCATCTAAGGGTAGTCCCTTTTGTATCCTCTGATAATTCTTTCGTCTACTGGTTCCCGATTGTAATCGAGTTATCCGTTGGGATACTCCTGAAAACTGGTCAGGTCTAAAGAGTCGTGTTGACTTCCCTCTACCAGTCATATTGACAGATACTTCTAGAAATTCATCATCCTGAGGAGCAGCTCTCTTCTTGCAGAAACGCCTTGGTCTGGATTCAGACGTTCTGGTGGAGATTCTTTCAAACATTGAAACTCTCTCCGGGGCGGCCATAGAACCACAATATTCTGACAACACCGCCTTAATAATTTTAGAACACGGACAATGAGAGTCCGGTCCTTGATTATTCCTTCTTCGAGACCTGTTCGTACCTCGGGCCTGATAGTACAACTCATCGGTTAGATGATCGGAGCAACCCATCGTGTGTTGGCACGAGTCCCTAGGTGTAACGTCCTCGTCTGACGAGTATGTTCTCTTTTGGGAATTCAACGCTTTGTTAGCGTCTTCAGGAGTTGCATGTCTGAAGCTATGTTTTCGTGAACGTAGGCTTTCAACAGGCTCCTGAACTTCGATACGCAGTCCAATGCGGTCAGTTATAGGCCTTTTCCCGTTATGCGTTCTCCTCCACTGCTTAGGAGGACAATCACGACCTCCAGCCTAAAAAACTGTTCGAGATCCGTTCAACGGGCTTGAGTGCTCTTTAACTAGAGCTTTGCCTCACTCATCGTGTGACGGGCCAAGGCGATCTTTGATGGTTATCTTAAAATAGGACAAATCCACACTGTCGAGGATCTCCACCGGAGGTGTGGAACTTGATGGAATTGAAGAAACAAGTGCAGAAGATCTTCTGTCTTGACTCTGATGCGGGTTAGACTTGAGTGACCCGTGGGTTGGAGGGTCGGATCCGGGTGACCCGTGAACTGGAGGGTCGGATCTGGGTGACCCGCAGACTGGAGGGTCGGATCTGGGTGACCCGCGATTCGGCGGGTCGGATTTGAGTGACCCGCGTTTCGACGGGTCGGATTTGAGTGACCCGCATTTCGGCGGGTCGGATTTGAGTGACCCGCGTTTTTCGATCTTTTTGGCCGCCGTCTTAGACATTGGCCTCCATACTTGGTGCAGTCTTTGTGGCTTATTTTCCACTCCTTCTTTCTCCAATTTCTTGGCCTCTTGTACAAGAATTCTTGCGTGTGCAAGCAATGCGCGGCGTTTCTGAATCCGCTCTTGAAGAGTCGATCGGGTCCTTTTGACGCGGACCCATTCGTTCTTCGCTGGTTTGAAGGAGGAGGGGTTGTCCACTCTCTGTTGTGGCGGTTGGCGCCTCCTGGACTTCAGATCCGCCTCATAGCGGATTCCATCAAATGGTTCCAAGGCTTTGGCCAGTTGTCGCACGAGGCATTGGCGTCGCCTCTGACGTGCTCTCTTTGATAGAGTTGGCACGTCATCAACAGTCGACCCCTTGCTCAAGGGGTTCAGATCTGTAGTTTTAGCCTCGTCGGATGCCGGCGGGGCGTTGTGAGCCACAAGTGCAGCGGTGGCGGAAGATCTTCTTCTTAAGCTTCTGCAGGTGAAGTCCAACGGGTCTTCCTAGAGTAGGTCTTCCTGCATCTGCGAGGAGAGGCCAATTTGAAGGAGGAGGACAAGTATTCCTCGTACTTCTGCTGGTCGAACTCATATTCGACCTCCGCTTCAACCGGGATAAGGATCCGGGGTTGCGACACGTCAGCCTTCACAGAAAGGTTGTCGGCTCCCACTGTGGTCGCCAGTTTGTTTTCGCCGGAAGTTGCCTTCATTACTGATTTCATTATAGCTTTAATCGTTTACAAAGAATTCAAATAACGAAAATAAAAAAATTATAACTCTTTTGAAAATAAACACAAGATCCGTTTATCGTCTCTTGCTTGCGTGGGTTCTTCGTAGGTGCCGGGGTTTATCCGTGGATGACCGCGAATCAGATCCGGTTGTCAGAAAATTAGGCAGAGCTTCTACCTCAACAAGGAGGTATTTGCTTGAAGCGCTGAAATCGACCAAGAGAAATCAGTAGCTCTTCTCGAGATTAAGACAAAGCCTAATCTCAAGGAACGGATGTACGAGGCTTCGGATCCTTCGAATGACTCCTCTTCTGTCCTGAAGTTCGCCGGGATCTCGTTGACCTTTGCTAAAATTTCGTTCTCCTTGACTGTTCAATCCAGCAGCACCTCGTCCTCTTGATAAAATTCCAAATCTGCAAAATGGAGGCCTTTGGCTCATATTTATAGATCTCAGATGCGGTTATTTGGATGGGAACAAGTGATTTAGCTCTATCTTCACTTAAAAACAGCCTAACCACGTTTGAGGATAACATCAAGTCAGTTAGAAACCCCTGGAACAGATAAATCATGTGAAAAACAGCTTTAAAACCACCAAAATGCGTATCAGACCCAAGACTGCGCGGCGCGGGTCAGACAGTTCCGACCCACGCTTGCGCGGGTCGATCACATCCGACCCGTGTTTGCGCGGGTCGGTCACATTCGACCCGCGCTTGCGTGGGTCAGATCCAATCCGACCCGCGCTGGCGCGGGTAGGTTTGTTCCATCCTGCGCGGGTCGGTTTGTTCCATCCTGCGCTAACGCGGGTTCGTCGTTTCTGCCAAACTTTTTCTTCCGGGACTTGTTCTTTTGTCATTTCGCGTATTTGGTCGATTTTTTGATTTGTACGCTTCGTCGCGGAACTGACCGTCAAACGCGCGTTGGTTGACGCGCGCGTGTTGACCGACGCGCACGAACTGATTAACGCGCGCGTGTTAGCCGACGTGCACGAACTGGTTGACGTGCTCGTGTTGACCGATGCGCACGAACTGATAGACGAGCGCGTGTTGACCGACGCATGTGAGCTGATTGACGAGCGCGTGTTGACCGACGCGCACGAACTGATTGACGAGCGCGTGTTGACCGACGCACACGAACTGATTGACGAGCGCGTGTTGACGGACGCGCACGAACTGATTGACGAGCGCATGTTGACCGACGCGCACGAACTGATTGATGAGCGCGTGTTGACCGACGCGCACGAACTGATTGACAAGCGCGTGTTGACTGACGCGTACGAACTGATTGACGAGTGCGTGTTGACCGACGCGCACGAACTGATTGACAAGCGCGTGTTGACCGACGCGCACGAACTGATTGACGAGCGCATGTTGACCGACGCGAGCTTGCTGACCGATGCGCACGAACTGATTGACGAGCGCGTGTTGACCGACGCGCGTGCTGACCGACGCGCATGAACTGATCGACGCGCGCGTGTTGATTGAGTGAGCCTTCTTGACTCGTACACTCTTTGTTTTGAGTTGCATGCGGGAGCTTATAGGCAATTTTAGATGCCTACAGTAATTATGCTATAATAATTAATAATGTTCTTACTTGTATATTTATACATCTGTTTGCATTTTTCATATGGCATAACAATCTCTTATCATAATAAAAATTTTCAAATTTGAATATAAATTAAGTACATGAATTAAGTACATGATTGATTGCCTTGGGGTACCCCGGGCGGAATATCTAGTTAAAATTAAACGGAGAATGTAATCAATTATAAACCACCGATTGAATTGGTACAACATATATCTCATAGAAATAACTCTTAGCGCTGGTACATTAAGAAGTTTGACATGGCGCTCTTCTTAATTACTGCAGCTTAATAAGCGTTCTCTCACACGAACAAGTAATGTGCCACTTTGACATTGGAGCATGCCCCGCATATACAACTACATTTTGTATTTCTAGTTAGCATATCTCTTCTGTCAATCTCATGATGTTGATATCAGAAACTGTAATTCGATATCATCTCTTATTTTGTCTCCGAACAAACTAATGAATATGCTCTGAAGATGTCAGATATTCTCATATATATCCTAAATTCTAATTACATATGGCATTCATGTTCCCTTCTTAATATAACTTCACTATATTTAAAAGAGGAAAAATCTTTTCATTTGCTGTAGCTTATCTTTTGATACCTGTTTGACATGTATTCTTCTTTTTTTGTTTAGTTTCATGTAGAAGTTTCTTTCAACCAGCGTTTATTCTATTCGATAATGAAAACACTGAGACGAGAGGATCCTTATCCTCAATATCCATGATAAAAGAATAATACTGCATATGACATCTTGAATATATTCTAACTCTTATTTATAAGGCCAGAAGAAGAGATGACAAAGATAGATCATTTATTTTATAGTTTGCCCCAACGGTCCTCCTCCATGTCAAAGTTCTCTCATTTCTCCATGGACTGCTTCACTCTTGAAGGTCACAAAGGTGCTTCACTCTCTTAAGGAATTTTTATACTAGTGTTTACTTCTTGATTCTTTTGAGAATTCTTCGATAATTTTTATTTAAGTGTTTCCTTCAGTGGAAGTTTTTGCTTTCCCAAAATGTTTCTTATCTAATTTGGTTCAATCTCTTGAGGGGAAAAAAAGATAGAATTTGATTCTATTTCATCTCTTCAACTTTTTCTTTTTTCACAAAATAGATGAGAGAGTTCAGACAACCAACAGTTAGTCTTTATTTGCTGGGAAAAAAAGGGAAGAAGATTGACCTTGTCTCTATTTCATCACTTCTTCTACTTTTTTTTTAATTACAAAACTAGATAAGAGAGTTCAGACAGTCAAGGGTTAGTCTTTATTTCATCTCATCAACTAATTTTCTGATGAGTATCAAGAGCGATAACCTGTAATTAGCTTTCCGGGAAATTTCCAACAAACAATTTCAATGAAATCTTTGAAGGTCCAATATAAGCAAATTAGTTCAAAAATTTAGTGGGAGACAAGCTCTAGTACATGCTTTTACACGTTAATATATTTTTTCATTTACTCTGCGCTAGAAAAAAAAAATTATGTCCTTTTATCTATTGTTTCTCACTTTTTACAGGAAGTGATGGTGTGCATAGACATGGGCTGAGGAATGTGCAGGTGATACGCAAATCAATACGCATGATTATTTTCTTTTCCCCCTGAGGAATTTAAATTCACATTACTTATGTACACATCGTATTCTTCAATAGCAGAATGGAGAGATCAAAGACGGACCAACTCGGCCGAGTGCTCCTCGGGGCCCTCCACCTCAACACAATTAATAGGATAGGAGAAGATGGAAGATCGTTATTTTCCTTCATCACTACGGCTTGAACTTATAGATGGAAATTTCCTTAGTAGGTACAGAACAAGCAGGCAGAAGTATGTTAAGGGTTGTAATATGTGTATAGTGATATAGAGAAGCAAAGAAATATGAGAAAGCTACCTTACAAATCATCGTTATGTTCCATGAACTCTTATACTTCCCAAACAATAGCTTTTCATGTCAAAATTAATGGAGAATACTAGAAGGTGGATTCATGCTAGGAATTTTTCTGTGAATTTTAGTGAAATGTGATGAATATGAGCATCCTTTTTATGGCAAGCATATCAAAACAGATCTTGCTTCGGATAAAGAATAGCGAAAAGGCCGCAAATCTTCCGAATAATCTGTTAAGGAAAGTGATAGAAGATCAATTAGTTTGTCATGAGAATCTATACTATATGGAACCTACAAAGAATCATAAGTTCAACACCAACATTGGATTCTAAGACCAGAAATGGTTTTTCTTACCAACGCTCTGTTATTGGCCTATTTGCCAAATTACTGAAGTCGAAGAGCAAGAAATTCCAACGATTTATTTTGTCTTTTTTTTGGGTCAATGAAGAACTTTTATTTATTCACCAAATTTGAAAATATAGCACAGATACCCAAAATTGAGAAACCAAGACATAAACCTGAACATATAGGAATTAGCTCAGCTTTTCTTCTCTTCATCTATAAAGAAAGAATCCAATCTCTATTCTCATCTGGTATAGAACTATTGAGGATAATGAACAAGCTGTCAATTTTTATAACTCTAACCAGTTGCTTAGCACTCTTGCTTCTCTGCTCGAAAATCCTGACATTCCTCTCACACCAAATATTGTATATTGTAGAAGATAGAGCCAATCTCTTAACTTTTTGTTTAAATCTCTTCCCTCTCAGCTTGTTGCAATACTAGTTCATGATATGATTCCGATCACAGGACCTCCATTTATATTGAAGCCAGTCCACAATAAGAGACCAAATGTCCCTTGAGAAGTTGCATTCAAAAACTAGATGATTTCTGCTCTCCATCTTTGTAACAGAACATAGACACCAAGCATTGCTATTCACAATCCCTCTTCTAAGCAGTCTGTCCTGGGTAATTAGCCTATCTTGAACAGCTAACCAGCATACAAAAGAGTGCTTAGGATAGTTCATCCTCTCCCATACTGTGTCATGCCATAACACCTTATTTGATATTGGGGATAGAGCAGAGTATAAGGTAGATAAGTGAATTTTTGAATTTTTAGAGCAAGAGCCTATGAGTTGTTTCAGATTTTCAGCACCACCATAGGAAGCCACAACTTTGTCTCTAATTTTTAATAGTTGTTTCCACATCCATAAATCCACTGTTTTTACTTGCACTTGCCAAACATTGCTGTGTTTTAAGTAGGTGCCATGAATCCACTTAATCCACAGATATTTCTTATTGACATGAATGCACCAAAGAATTCACAATGCAGAAGCTATATTCCAGATAGAATTATTTTGTCTTTTTCTTAATAAACACCTTTGTGTAACAACATTTCCTCTTGTCTGAACTCCTCTCCCAATGCGCATAATTCAAGATTTTTAAATCTAACATTAGAAGCAAAACAAAAGTACAGGTTTTGCCTTTAAACAAAGAAGGATATACAGTTCTTTGAATCAGTGGGTTTACTTGATGATGTTGGGAAAAGTGGGTTGATAGATTGACCTTTTCTCTTTTCCTTGTAGATAAAATAGATTAATAAGGTATTGATTGACTTTTTCCCTTTCTCCTGCAGATAAAATAGTTTAATAAGGTAAATAATAATAAAATGACCACATAAAATAATCAGCACGACACCAGATTTTTTAACGTGAAAAACCTTTCAACTAAAGGTAAAAACCACGGTAATTGGTTAAATATAATGCGCATCCATTGTTTTCTCCCTAGACACTTATCTAGAGATACACTAGAAACAAACAAGAGAAAAAAGAGGGCTTCTTGTACATTTTTGAAAAGGAACATAAAAGACTAACTCTTCCTCTTTCTCTCTCAAGTTTTCTGTGACTTGAGTTACGCTGCTTCTTCTGCTTCCAATCAAAGAAATGAAGGCTACTTATAGCCTAAGCAATTTAATATGAAAGAGACACTCTTCCTTATAAAAAGGAGAGTTAAGAGTAGCTATAGGCCATCTTATGCAACTGTTCTACTCCCATCATCATCTGCATTTCATTTCCCATGTTCAAACATTTTTACATGGTTGCATTGTCCCATGTTTTCATTGTGTGGACTCCAAGTGAGGTGGGACCCACACAATAATTCTCCTCCTCCCGATTATTTGGAGAGGTCCATCTCTGCTAACTTTACACAGATGTCAAACTTGTCACTAGGAATGGCCTTCGTCATCATATCGATAGGATTCCTGTTGATATATATGGATCTTTTATAGTAGTATCTGCTTCTCTTCTATTACATCTCGTAACTAGTAAAATCTTACATTATTGTGCTATGTCCGAGAATGGTACATATTGTTCTTGTTGAGATTAATAGCGCTTTGTAACAGTAGAAAATGTACACATCATGCTTCAAACTTAGTTCCTAGAGAAATCTTTTCATCCACAATTATTCTTTGTCTGCTTTTGTAGATGTGATATACTTAGCTTCTATGATAGATAAAGCAACATCCTTTTGTAGTTTGGACTGCTAAGATATAGATCCCACTATAAAAGTAAATAAATATACATATGTAGCCTTTCTATTATCGAGATCATTTGTGATATCTACATCTGTATAGCCTTCCAGAATTGGTTTGGAACTACCAAATGTCAAGCACAATCCTGAACTGCCCTTTAGCTACCTAAGAATCCACTTTACTACTTCTCAATGTTGTCTTTCAGGGTTAGACATATATTTGCTCACCACTGCCATTGCGTGAGCAATGTTTGTCCGTGTGCATACCATGGAAACATTAGAATCCAAACTGTTGAGGAGTATGGAAGCCATCACTTTCTTTGCTTCTTTTATAGTTAGACAATTTCTCTTGTTGAGGTTTAAAGTGATTTGCGAGAGGCGTGCTAACAAGCTTAACAACTGATGCGGCATAAACATGTACCAAAAAGGTTGCAAGTGCACAACCGTGTCAAGTTATAGTATTTAAGATATCGATCCCACGATGAAGGTGTTTTGTAGGAGAAAATATGAAATTGGTTCTTATGTTGTGTGCGTGACAAATAGGAGTGATAAGTGAATGTGATTGTGAAGAGATTGAGAGAGTGAAAATGGTGTGTAAATAGTAATCTACAATTGAACCCACTTCTTAGAAAAGGGTGATTCCCTAGAGGGTTCTAGCCTAAAGGCGAATCAAACAAAATAAAAATAAACAAAAAGAAAAACTAAACCCAAGAGGGTTCTAGCCTCAAGGTGAATAGTATAAGAAATTAAAATCTAACTACAAAATAAATTGCAAAATCTAAACTACAAAATAAAATTGCAAGAATTAAATGCAAGAAAATAAATCTACTCTATAAGCATGAAATAAATCTAAGGCAAGAGGGTTCTAGCCTCTTGGCTATTTAACAAGAAAATAAAATCTAACTACAAGCATAGAAATAAATCTAAACTAATAAGCAATAAAAGAGAAAAATAAAATAAATGCAAACCTTCAAATAATTCTCCATCTTCATCTTCCAATAAAGAGAAGAAGAGAAAAATTTAAGTGATGAAAAAATTATTATTACTAATTGCAACAAAAAGTTACAATTTTGGAAGGCCTTCTCAATTAAGAGTAGCCCTCCTCTCCAAAAGGAGTTACAAAAATTTTCACATCCTTAACCCCTCACTCTCTACCCCTATTTATAGTAATCTTCAATGAATATGAGCCATTGGATTTGTCTTGAGCCCCAAGCAACAATCTCCACCTTTGAATTTGCTTTTTGTTCTTCTCTAGCCCAAACATAGGAGGCCCAATTGATTTATTTGATTTTCAAAAAAAAAATCAAAATCCAATCAAGTCCGGTCCAATTTGATTTTCGGCCTAATTGCATTTCTTGTGAAAATCCAAGCCAATCGGTCTAAGGCCTTAAATCCCAAGTCTGCAGCTATTTCGGCCCATAATGATTTTCCAAATCAAAATTGCAGCACCGGCCCATTCTTCTATCTCCATCAGCAGCCGGTCCATGAAATTCACTTGATTTTCAAAAGAAAATCAAGTTCAAGCCTCTGCAGCAGCAACCAAATGTAGAGAATTTTGAAGTCCGGCCCATGAAGCTTCCAGCCTACTTGAGAGAAAAATCCACAGCAAGTCTCCATGTAGAAACCAAAGATGCAGTCTAAAAATCCGGTCCAATGCATTTGGTTACTTCATTTAAGTCCTCATGTCCGGCCCATTTGTGAAATCCAACTATTTAATTCGGTCCATGAAGAAAAAATCAAGCTGCAGTCTAAAAATCCGGTCCATTCATTTCACTTGATTTTCAGCATAATCCCTCTAATGGAGCTTGATTTGGTGTATTCATTTGATGAGCTTTGGGCCTTTACATCCTTATATTTCACTTGAGAATTGGTTGAGTTTCTTGATGGGTTTTGGCCCTCCAAAAATTCGAAATTCATTTGTGAAAAGAGGGGAGGAGCTGTCATGGACATTTGGGACATGGGCTTTTAAAATTCAAATATTTCACTTTGGCTTTTTGAATTTCTCTTATTTCTTCATTTTCTCAAGGGCCTTTGTTGAGAGATGGGATTTTTGAGATTTATTCTTCATTAACCTGCAATTAAAGATAAAAGCAATTATTAGTGGTATATTTATTCATATAAAATAGATAATGAAGGTATAAAATTGTAATAAAATGTGATTATCAACAACTTTCATGTTGAATTGTTCAAGTTACCATTCAATATATTTCTCCTGAGATAACCATAACTTCTTTGCTTTCCAATCTCAAGCAATCTTCAAGCACAGTACCTAGCCTACTGGCCCCAAGTCCTTCATGTCAAAGTACTTGGATAATTCTTCCTTCAATACTTGAATCATCTTAGCATCCTGTCCAATATGAATACATCGTCAAGTAAAAGAATGATGAAGTTATCTTCAGAGAACATTTGGATGTACACACATGAATATGCAGTTGTACGCGTGTACCCATGACCCACCATAAATTACTCAAACTTCTTGTACCATTGGCG